TTTTTCCAGGTCAATTAGCTACAGTGCCATGGGCTCTAAACGTCTTGACAATGTCACGCACAGTGGACACAAGGACATAAAGATCTCTGGAGATTAACTTTTAACCTTGAGATTATCCATGCTTTTCCACGATTTTTGTTCTCAAAGCCTCAGACAGTCCTTTGCTACTTCAGAGGTTCCAGAAGACTGCAGAACCAATCTAAAGAGACAGCACAACTCACTCATGCGCAGTAGGAAATCAACTGAAGCTGCGAGGCTTCACTTCCAGTTTCCCTCACGTCCTCAGCTGGCACTAGGAACCCAGCTAGTAAAGAGCCTGGAACTCCTTTAGTTATTCATGGAAACCCTTTATCCCCAAAAAAGGGCAAAGGATACCACTGGCCAGATCACCAGGTGAAAAACAGAGGGGAACAAACAAAAAAACACACACACACACACACACACACACACACACACACACACACACTAAAACCCATACGAACACTAATGCCGCAGCCACATTTAATGATCGGCAGGCTGTAATATATTACATTTTTGGTTTGGGGTTTAATACTGCTTCAAATGCCACTACAGGTTCAATATCCATATTAGGTTAAAGCAAGAAAAGCAAAGACAAAAAGCCCAATATCCAATCTTAAAATAACTTTTAACCGCCCTTAGCGAATTAAAAACAATTAAAGAAGAATTAAAAACACGCACGATAGTAAATCGAAAGATCAATTTGCAGACACCCGAATTCCTTCATTTTAAAATTTAGACCTGAGAAACAGTGAAAGCTATGTGTCCCAGCAGATGCTGGATAGTTGCAGTTTGCATAGTTTTTCTATTAACCACTTGACCTCCAAAAGTTTACCCCCCTTCATGACCAGGCCTTTTTTCAGTAGTGTTCATCTTCCTCTCGTTCCTCTAAAAGTTGCTGGGGGTTCCTAGAGTTGTGGCTAAATTGACCCCCCCATTTAATGGTGTCTGCATAGTTCCACGGCCAACACCACTTGGCAGAGCCACCTGCATGACGCCAATGATCATTTTAGCTGTCTGTAAGGTGCAGTCTTTTCGCCAACTACTATTGCCATTTCCCACTGATCCACAATGAATGGGTTTTAGCATGGGTTTCCCAAAACGTGAAAATTATCTCAAGTGGGGGTTAAAATGAAAAAGGGCTTATTATAAAAAAGTCTGTAAATCAACCTATTACAGGGAGCTCTGTATCCATCTCTGCCTCATTTAAACCTGCTTAAAAAAGGTAGTAGTAGATTTTTACCTACAGGTAAGCTTATAATAAAGCTTACCTGGAAGTAAAATGAAAAATCACCTAAATGTTCATCGTTTAGGAGATATTCTTGGGAACAGCAACCAGTGACGTCACCGGCACATACGGTCCGAAGAAACAGCATACCAGTGCCATTTCTTCAGAGCTCTGTGCTGCGGCCATGACTCCTGCACGCATGCATGGGAGTGACATCACCGCAACTCAGCCATTCAAGCAGCCCAAGAACCTGGAAGGTAGACTTGGCGAAGAAGATGGATGCCTCTGCAGCGGCGACAGCACACCTCTTGGGGGCTTCTTTCTCAGGCAAATCTTTCGTAATGTGCTAGTATGCGATGCATCCTAGCACATTCTGACTTTATCTTGCAGGGTTTGTCTGTTTTGTTTTTTTTCTACCTTTACTACCACTTTAACAACTTTTGAAATATCAACCTCATGTTGAGAAGGATTTTTTTTTCCATTGTGTTGGCTAAACAATAGACTTGCATTCTGAGAAAAGCAGGAACAGTTTAAAGTGCAAAATATGAAACAGGAAGCAGAACCAGAGTATGTGACTACATTACATACTGAGCTCTGCTGCAATTAAAATCACACATTTGTACACATTTAGGGATCCAATGCATCTTTGGCTGCAATTGCAGAATCCACCTATTTGAAAAAACGGGGAAAAAAAAAATTCAGCCCTCAAGCAAAAAAGTTTGTAATAGTGTGTTGATGCAAGATTACTTTGCCTTTGTTCTATAACCACATAAAACCATGCAATAGAAAACATAATGCGTAGGTGTGTAATTACAGAGGATGGATATGTGGGACATCACAAGTTTTACCAAGTTTTTGATTCAGAACAAGTTACATTAACTAAACCCTGCCAGGATAAGTACAAAACTTAAATCTAATATGGAAGGTAAAAATACTAGTTGCAATTTCTAGCCACAGAACAGGCCCACACAGAGCAAAGCTTTTATTGATTGTTCTACGGGATTTAAAGTGTGAAATGTTGGTCTTTGGTTATGCACAGGATCCCAGCTCTACAGCTACTGGCAAGAGCAGATGATTCAAAAACCATACAGGAGAAAAAAAAAAAAAAAAAAAAGGGCTGTCCCATTTAAATTAAAAATTAATTTAAGTGTTTTTCAGGTTTACATTTTTTCATAAAAATACACTACAGTATAATGTAACTGAAAGTTAAGGTTTAAATTGGGTACTAAATGACATTTTAATATCTTAAAAAAAAAAAAAAAATTAATAATTGAATAGCAAAGCATTTTAATTCCCAGACACTTATGAGGAGGTCCCCATTTGGCATCTCTAGACGACAAAGCAGCAACAGGTGACTCACCTAGCAGACCATAGTTCTAACCAAAATATCACTTTTGGGTGGATGAATCCTAGGAGAGGTGAGAGTTCATAATCTTGGGTTACAAATCAGAAATCACAAAATAAAGACAATACTCTAAACAGTACAGACATTTTAATCCAGTTTTTTCCCCCAATTCACTCCTAAAAACCATTGCAATAGCTGCTTCGATAGGAAAGCCCCGTAATAGTTATCAAATTTTTTTTAAAGAAATGTGGTAATTGATCTCTGCTTAAACAATAATCTTAGATATTTAAAATGCAAATAATGCACAGCCACATAAGCAAAATCTTAATATGCTTAAATATATAATGACCAAAGGAAATTAGAAAATGTAAAAAAAACCTCAATTTTTTCTGAGATTTGATCTACATTACAGAAAGTATGAAAGCTCCTCCTGTGTCATGTCTTTGCTAGCCTTGTATAGACTTTTACATTTCCTTACAAAAGCTACCTATAGTACTTTTCAAAGAATTATCCCTGCAGAACTATTTTTCTGGGCCCCAGAAATGTTCCGGGTCATACGGTGTCTAAAGTAGCAGCTACAAACCTGACTTTAGAGGTTTCTTAGGAAGAGACGTCATGGCTTTCTGCACATTTTTAATTACAAGGTTAGGCTTTCTGCACTTTAATTACAAAGTTAGAGTGAACTTGTCCCAAGTCTGTCCTAATTAACATATAGCAGAAGACAATCCTTTATAACCTTAATACCCCCCCCCCCCCCTTTTTTTTCCCAGGACAGGCAGTGCTCAGATCTAGTTACTGAGAATGTAGATCTGCCTGCACAGCACAGACCAGGTTAATTATGGCAAACAAAGCTGCCCAGCCCCTTTACAGGACCATCTGGAATTTTTCCTTGGTGGAGGCTTCAGAATAGAACATCTAAAAAGGCAAATTTTTAATTATTAGGTTATGCTTTGTGTAACAAATATAAAAAGTAGGCATCATCCCAATTTGGCTGCAAAAAAGGAAATACACTTTAGGTTGCAGAATAGTGTTCAGATAGAGCTGCCACAAATGCAAGCATTTCATATATGAAAATATCCATTATAGGGGGTTCATCTAACAAACTAGAAAAAAAAATAAAAATAAATGAATCCTGCCCATAGTTGCTAGAGTTAATTGAAACAAAAAAAAATTAAAGCATGTTTAATGGAAAACTATTGTTGCTATAGTTTTAGAGACTATAGGTCCACCATATAAAAATGGTCAAGAGCTGAATGTGTGTGGGCTGAAAACCACAATTTGTGACATGCCTATACATTAGTGTGCTTAGCGGTCAGCAATCACGCTTCATTCATTGTACTACTATCTACTGCTGGAAGAATCACTTGTGACTTGTATAAGTTGCTGCCTTTCCTATGACCAAAAAAATGACAAATAAAATCTCAGCTGGCTTACTGTACATCATTTTGCCAGAAGAAACATGCCCTCCAGTTACAGGGGCCTGAAGACAACATTTCCTAAGTGCTTTGGTTCTCATATCAGGCTTGACAAAACCCCAGGAGCAAATAATTTTTTTCTGCTGTCAAATCCTCCCCAGCTCTTAAGACTAGGCTGGCTGCAGAATTCCACTGTAGTTTACACATCCTTGCCAATATACAGATTTATGATCCAAAAGGATTTTGAAGGAACTGAAAACAAATAGCACAAGGGATGAAAAGAAGCATGCTCCGAATCTCAAAGACCTTGGAGTAGTTTTTATGATAACATATGACTCGGCTCATGATTTATGAGAACATATGACTCGGCTCATGAATACTTCTAATACTGGGTAGGGGGACATCTTAAAATGCATCCATTACAAATATGAATTAGGAAGATAATACAGTGCGGACAAGTCCTGAGTTTTAAAATACAAAGCTTATTGTTCAGATAAAAAGACATTTCAAAAAAAGAAAAAAAAAGGCTTTTAAAAAAGGTCTATAAATGAATGTATTTTATTCTTGTATAAGGTGTCTGACTATGCACCAACAGCGGGAAGTCACTTCTTAGCACTAATAAGGCACCTCAGATCAATGACTGTATTCTGTCACTGTTCTGATTTATAAAACCACAACAAATAGAAAATCTCAGAAAAAACACATTTCTTAGACTGTGATAAACAAGAAAATCTACCTGTACAAGCTTGAGAAAAAGACAGTAAAAGCTTTACAGGTTTATAAAGTACTCCCTGAAAGAACCAGAACACGATTGTTATATCAAGGCACGTGTAGTTAAATATTCTCAGGCAAGAAGGTAATCAATAGCTCAGGGGTTGCACAGCATGTTGTGTGTTCACTTTAAACATCCCAGTTAAAAAAGCAGCACAAAATTTCTTTACTCCACCATTTACGCCTACAAATCAATCGTTCCAATGTGTGCTTTTTAAAAGGTTCAGTCACTGCTGTCATCATCGTCGTCGTCATCATCAGACAGGTGATTGGTTGTTTTGGGGGAATTAGACAGGGAGTCTGATCTGGTGGACTGATTGGAAGACAAATCTCCGCTAGACAAACGGTCAAAGCAGAAATCACAAACCCGTACAGCCTTCGAAGACTGGTTCGGCAAAAGGAACCTTTTCTCAGAGCAAGGTCCACAAATTACAAAACCACATTTCCGACAGTGATGTCTCCGGTTAACGGGTGTAAACTTCACTTTCTTACAACGCATGCATGTAGGAGCTTCAGAATCCGGAATCCACACGGCTGCATGTTCATTATTTGGGGTCTTTCCACTTTTGGAAATCAGATCGTAAACACACTTGTTGATATGATTCATCCATTCGGATTTCTCTGTTGCGGTAGCAGCATACACTGCAAACGACTTGTTAGGGGTTTTGATGAGCCACCCATTGCGCAAGTCCCCCTCATCCGGTATGGAGTCTATTGTAACATTTTCAAGAGGGATTATGTTCTGTTTGTTGTATTTCTTCTTTTGAATAACAATATTGCCATACACCAAAATGTCATTGAACAGAAAGAACTGCCGGGCTTTTGGTTTCTTCCTGCAGAGTTTTGTTAACACACCTTCCCCAATGAGAACTCTGCCTTCAATAGCCAGTGGCTGGCCAGCTGTTCCAAAGCAACTTTCCACTACGTTGATACGCTTTGCATTGGCTTCACTGTTTGCTAGACGATCCACCATTTTTTCCCCCTCACCAGATCTAAAATAGTAAAAAACAAAAAAAATAAAAAATTTTAAATAAATGAAAGCTCTTACACAGAGGATCTTTTAGAAATATTTTATACAAGATTCCTTCTTTAGAAGCTCCCACCTTATATTAGCCTTCACTAAGCAAACTTGAGTGGCATGGGCAGCACAGTGGCTAAATGGTTAGCACTTCCACCTGGCAGTACTAGGGTCGTTGGTTCGAATCCCAACCACGGCACCACCTGCCTGGAGTTTGCATGTTCTCTCACTGTGCCTGCGTGGGTTTCCTCCTACACTCCAAAGACATGCTGGTAGGTTAATTGGCTCCTGTCTAAAATTGGCCCTAGTATATGTATGAATGAATGTGAGTTAGGGACCTTAGATTGTACACTCCTTGAGGGTTAGGGACTAATGTGAATGTACAATATATATATGTAAAGCTCTGTGTAAATTGATGGCGCTATACAAGTACCTGTAATAAATAAATAAAATTACGTTCAGCCAGTAACTGCTGAAGGGTTCTTCACCTGAATTGAAGTGAAACCCCCTTATGTCAGCATAGTCCTAACAACCTACACCCAAAAACTTTGTAAGTCTTTGGTAAACCTACCCATATTACACAAACACACACAGATACTGTACAAACATACATACTTCTATACAGCATATCTGCATAAATGAACCAAACAAAAACCTCTTTGCAGACGTACTGTACAATTAATGTTTGAAAACAAAAGTCCCTGTCCAAATTCAGGATGTATTCGGTGTCCTTTTATCATGCAGCGGTAAATGACCGCTGCTCAGTTCTCCGGCATTCCCGGAGAAGACAGTTCTCCTCTGAATGCCTTTTTATGAAGCGGTGTAGATCAGTTCTCCGAATGAAGAGACGCGCGATCTGCAAACGCTTTCAACGCTGCAAAACGGCTGCTTTCACTATATAATTCGCGAGATTACAGTAAGAGATCAGTCAAACACCATTAACTAAGCAGCGGTAAATTATCGCTGCTTTGTTTGCGGTTCCTCCGATTCTCCACCTCGGAGCTGGAGAATCTGGAGGGAGGACACAGATCACCAGTGAAGGGCTGACATCGCTCCTTCACACATTGGCCATCTGTGTGCTGAGATGATCAATGGAGAACATGTTCTCCGCTGATCATCTGTTTCCTAAACCACTAATGATCGGAGATCAGCAAGGATCCTCAGGATCGCCGCTGATCTGTTTCAAAAAAAAAAAAAGGACACCTTTACCAGACACCAATTCTCATGGTGTGTCACCTTCACAAATTCCCCAATACAGAACATTTTTTTTCATGCTTGTGATTGTAAAACAACCCATACATTTTACAATAGAAATGAAAGGCAAAACATTTGTGTAAAAAGAATACACACACAAATTTAGTTGTTTTCAAGTATTTAACAAAACATATTCAAGCTATAGTTATATAATGGATATGGGCTGAAAGTACACACTCAGGTTTAATTTGAGGGTCTGTACATCCAAATTGGAGGGTTTAGGAATTACAGCTCTTAAGAGTAGCCATCCCCTTTTTCAAGGGACCAAAAGTAATTGGACAATTGAATATAATCATAAAAAAGTTCATTACTAATATTTTGTTGAGAATCCTTTACTGCAATGACTGCCTGAAGTCTGGAACCCATGGACATTACCAAAAAAAAAAAAAAAAAAAAAAAAAAAAAAAAAAGAAATTGTACCTGTGTCCAACCATACATACATATATGGCGGGGGGTGATCAGTTCCCAGCACAGCTATAGCACTGATCACACTGTGCCCTCATGCCTAGTGTGATCAGTTCCCAGCACAGCTATAGAACTGATCACACTGTGCCCTCATGCCTAGTGTTTTTTGTAAGGAAAACAGAGGGGCTGGCAAGAACACTAGGGATTTCACACAAAAAAGGAAGCAATGCAAAGAGAACAGAATTTCATAGAAATACTGTACATGCTACAGCAGGCACATATCAGAAATATGAAATGTTGGGTTTACATATTCTTTAAAAAGCAGAACTATACTGTATCTGAGCACCACAAAGCAAATGCATTATTTAATGTATTTTTAAATCTTCAAAGCAAATTCCCCCATCCACCATGTCACCATGCTTTATTTTGCTGGGCAATTACTTTGAAAAAACACCCCCTAGCATTTTTGGCAGATAATTCATATAACAATTATTTCACGGAATCCATCTGCCTTAGCTCAGGCATACAGACAGGAGGGTGTGATTAGCTGGGAACACTCTCCCTCCCCTTCGGAAGACTCCTGGGATGTATGACATCATTTGCCTAGGTATGGAAAGGAGGTATCGGATTAAATGTAAAAAACTGTTTAACACAAGTAAACATGATATATGTTCCTATTTGTTTACCAATTCTAACAGCATAAGGATTCAAAATAGTCAATGTTGAGAGAGTGAAGTTCCACTTTAAGCCAAGTTCTTGTCCTTCAGAGATATTTTATACAAATGATTTTAAAAACTTTGTACAATTCAAGATTTTTTTTTTTTTATATATAAAAGAGGTGTGTTGCGATGCCTCAAAAGTCTGGCCTTTCTGTAAACCTTTTGTAATGAATACTTTATTTATGATCTACTTTCTTAAAACCTGAAATTCAATAGCGTGCTTTATAAATTAAAATACAAAGAAATTTAGGAACAGTTTTTTTTTTTTTTTTAATAAAATATAAAGGTTTCAGTGATCTCGTCTCCATGAGACTGATCTCACAGCTCAGCACTTTCTAGCCAGCAAGTATGCATTATGCAGGAGGAAGTGAAGCAAATCACGATCTTCCTTTTCCATCTCTACCAGAGCAACATCTTAACCACCATACATCTTGTCAGCAAGTGGTTATAACAAGATCATGACTGCAGCTATGGGAGAAAAAAACAAAACAAAAACAAAACAAAACCAAAAAAAACAAACAAAAGCCAGCGATCGGATAATAAAAGATATGGCACCCGATGCCTGTTAAAGTACCAAGAAGGGGCACCTCCCCCCTCTGGTCACTGCCTGCCCAGATTCCTGGGCTCTGTTCCTCCAAGGAGCCCAAAGCCTTGGTAAATGGCCAGCATCTTTTCACACGGAGGAGATGGAGGAACAACCATCGGACAAATTCAGCTGGAAGAGACCAATATCACTTCCGTTTTCAGAGCAGTCATTTAGCCAGGAGAAGCAGTGAATTGAACACGATCTGTGCTTGGGTTAGCTGCTTTGGAAGGCAGGGTCACCACGGGTCTGTTGTCTCCATATGGAAAAAAAAAAAAAAAAACAATACAATACGGGGCATACCGGGCACTTTTACCCCCTTCCCTCCCAGGCCATTTTTCAGGTTTCAGCGCTCTCACACTTTGAATGACAATTGCGCGGTCATACAACATTGTACCCAAGCTAAAATTTTATCATTTTCTTCACACAACTAGAGCTTTCTTTTGGTGGTATTTAATCACCGCCGGGGTTTTTATTTTTTGCTAAATTAACAAAAAAGGCAGAAAATTTTGAAAAAAAAGAAATTTCTTTGTTGGTTATAAAAGTTTGCAAATAAATAATCGTTCTTCATAAATTTAGGCCAAGATGTATTCTGCTACATGTCTTTGGTGAAAATAACCCAAATTAAGATTTATTTTTTAGTTTGTAGGAAGGTTATAGAGTTCACAAACTATGGTATAGATCTGAATATTGATCAATCCTGAAGTACTGACAGCCAATCTAATTTCTTGACATCCAAGAATGTCAGAATAGTACAGATATCCACCAAATGACCCCTTTTTGTAAAGTAGACAGTCCAACATATTTCATAAGAGGCATGGAGAGTTTTTTGAAGTTGTATTTTTGTCATAATTTTTTGGAAAATTAGAAAAAAAAATTTAAAAAAAATTATTTTCACAATTTTTTTTACATACTGTCACCAGTGCAGTACAGCGTCATCATAACTGGCATGGCGGTGATCAGGGACACGGACTGGTGAAAGTATGAGAAAAAAAAAATATTTTTTTAAATTATTTTTAATTTATTAAATTTTTTTCTTCTTTTAAAGATTTTTTTCATATTTCACTATGTCCAAAGTAGTACAATGTTACCATAGTAACATTGTACTACTTTGGGGAAGTGATCAGTATTTTTTTTTTTTTTTTTTAAACACAATTTGCTTATAGCAAAGAATTACTTTGCTATAAGCAAGCATTTACCTGAATGACAGATTCATTCAGGGCTTTTTTTTTTTGTGCTTAGCTGTGATTTGGCCACAGCTAATCACATGACATGTGCATGTGATCGCTGTGACCATTCACAGCTAGACACTAGTATACAATGGATGGCATGAATGAAGCCATCCATTGTATACAACTGTCATGTGACCTGCTGTGATTGGTCACAGTTGGTCACATGGTACCGGCAATGGGGGCCGGTACTCAGATCTGTCATTTGTACCTCAGACACAGCCGGTGACAGATCGCGCAGCTGATCTGCCCGGGAGTACGCCATATGGCGTCCACCCGGAAATCTACAGCATTTTGCCGGCCGCCAAACGGCTATTGGTTAATTGGCTTACGCGAAAGTTATAGGGTCTACAAAATTGCATATTGGAACTTTAAATTTTTTTTTTTTATACTAGTAATGGCGGCAATCAGTGACTTATAGAGGGACTGCGGCAGGCATTCTGACACAGGGTGGGAACTAACTGCCACTGACATCCCCAGTGACACAAATACAGTGATCAGTGCTAATAAAAAGGACTGACACTGTACTAATGACACTAGGCAACAGGTTAACATTTGGGGCGATTAAAGGGTAAACGGTGTATCGTATTATTTTTTACTAGGGGATGTGCGGGTTTTTAAATCTCCATTTGCAAAGAGAAAAACTAGCAGGTCCCTGATCTTGTTTACAATCACAGACCACTCTCCAGTGATCCCTGCTCATGAATTGCTGGCCGGGACCTGGTGATTGACACCTACAGGAGCCAATGACATTTGCCCATTTGG